CAAAAATAAGCCTTTTAGCAATGATTAATAGAAAATATAACTTGTTTGTTGTTAATTAAAGACCTACATAATTAGTTATCTGTGCTCTGCCCACCACAAGTATCAAACCTGACTTTAGTGGACCCCAAGTGGCACAGCGATATGTCTGTGGACTTACAACGCTAGAAACCGGGTTTCGATACCAGTTGTGGCCAGAGCTCAGATAGTCCATTATGTAGCTTTGCGCTTAACTACAAACAAGCAAACGATTTTTAGTGTTATATTCTCCCAGATTTACCAATGGGAGAACAATACAAAAAATAATCCTTTAAAAATGATAAATACATAAGATAAACCCGTAACATAGAATTACATTTTAAATAACTCTCTAACAAAGAATGCAAGTACACTATACGAAATACTTTTAATTAAGAAATATTATACATAAAAGCAATTTGAAAGAGATTTCCTACCCACCACCCTATAGAAGGGGTATTCTAAGATTAGACTAAGTTTAAAATAAATAAAATAAAAATCATTTAACTATCATTACTAAATATAGTAAATCAGACCCTTTATATAAATCAAAATGTAAACAGTTAAAATACAAAAATGAAAACCCTCATAATAAACATTGACATAAGCTCCCTTTTATACCAATAGAAATGTAGCATAAAATGAACTCTTTACATGAATAAAATGAAGCAAACCCCTATTACAATTAGCATGCTAACATAAAACCTTTCAACTCAGACTAAAATAAAACACTGTTAAAATAATTATACAAAATATACAACAGAATGTTCTATAAACTATGTTTTCGTTCTAGTTACCTTTGTTCGTTTGTTGTTCTTTAGAAGATAATATTTACTTTGCACTCGAAGATATTGCTGCAACTTCGCACATTGTGTAGAACAGGTCAACTACACATAAGTAGATGACCTAGATGGCCAGTTGAAGAGTCATGACTCCCTTTCGGTCAGCATCTTTCAACTACCCCATTTTTCTAGCTGCTGATGACCAAGTGGTAGCCATACACTGTAGTACACAGTATTGAGATAGTGTATATTCACTGGGTACACTAAGGTTATGTTTGTTATGATATTTAAGCTACTATCTGAAAATTGCATTTACTACTGATAATTTTACCTACTCATGAATATTTCAATTTGATCAAATTGAAATATATTTGGCACTAGTATTTATGAGACACACCAGATAAAACTCTTTTAGTCAGTGATCTTTCGACTACCTGACTATCCTGGCTAATGATAATCAAGTAGTAGATACTAAAAAGTAGACCATACATTCTGCCAAACAACACGACTCAATAGTTTGGAATGTAAGGATCGCAAAACCCTTCTGTCATTGGTTTCTCAACCGGAAAATCTCTTAACTGGTGTGTATTGTGTGTGTCTATATAGATATAAACATACACACACATATATGCACTAAAAGCAAAAGTTAAATAAAATTAAAAAGTTCACAAGACATATTTAACAATTTACATTGAGAACTGGCACAAAAATTTCATGGTGATGGAGATTCCATGTGGGCATTTGCCATGACTCTTCCAACTGTGGTGTACCCCTAGCTTGATGTTCATTGTCTGCTTCACTGACCAGCTGTTGGGGAGAACTGCCATTAGCTCGTCTCTTGTGGACATCATTTTCAGCTAAATTAGCATCTGCTTTGAATGGTCCCCAATTATGCTGGCAGTCCGTCATGCGGTAGAAAATGCTTTGAAAAACTATTCGGCATCAAGGGATGGAAAAACACTGGCTAGTTGAAGAAGAAGATAGCCAAAAGCATCCCAGATTCGAAGCCCAGACTAAAAATTTATGATAAAATGAATTCCAATTAATATAAAGCTTAGCTAGGTGTTTAGGTTGAAAAGTATCACAAGTGTGTGATCCAGCTCTATTCTCCTTCCTATTATCTGATTGTCATGTAGATAGCACCTGGATCCAGTAAGAATGGGCGTAAAGGCTGTAACAGGTCCCTACCTGACTTGGATTAGACAATGACAAACATTACCTTTGACCATTAATATTCACCAATGCTTCCATAGTCTTTCCCTTGGGATTTTCCCTCAGTTACAAATTTAGCACTAGTTTTTGGCACAATTTACAAAGTTTTCACTGCACGAGTATTAATTTTTGCCACTTCATAGTACCCTTACAGCCTGCATTTCATGCTTTAATATTGCATGTACCGAAGAAGTGTTCAGAAAGCACTCAGAAAACTGTGTGTTCGCTAAAACATTTCAGCTTGCATGACTGAAAATATTCTATCATAAAGAAATAAGACACTGGGTACACTAAGTTTACATTTGTTATGATATCTGTGAATTACATTTACTGCTGATAATTTTACCTACTCATGTATATTTCAATTTGATCCAATTGAAATATCTTTTGCTCTTGTATTTTTATGAGAAACACTAGATAAAACAGTGTTATAAGAACTTCAAGTAAAACTATGTTCTTTCTCAGATGTAACGCAAGTCTCTTCGTTACTTTTATTTCTTCCAAGAAAATTCACTATTTGCCAAATATTTTAACCTCAAAATTGAAACATTTTCTAGTATTAATGAAAGTAACACGTGCAATGAAATTTCCAATAATATTGTCCAGGTCAATTATTACAGCTATCCCCAAGCTCGTGATTTCGCAACATCGAGATCAAATCCTTTGTCTATGTGATTTAGTTGCTTATTGTTGTGTTCTTTGTGTAATCGATTCATTTGTGTGTTTTACAACACTTATGAATGATTTTATGTAATGTTCATATATAGTGTGTGTGTAATACCACAAGGATATATTTATTCATATACATAAATTGCTATATATATGTATGTTACCATTACACATTGTCAAAT